CTCAGCGGCCATGGCTCACGGGCCCAGCCACTCCGCGGTATGTGGGATCTTCCCGGACCGGGGCGCGAACCCATGTTCCCTGCATCGGCAGGCGGACTCTCAACCACTGCGCCACCAGGGAAGCCTTAAAATTGTTTTTTTATTTGAGATTCCAGTTCTATGTTAAAATTTTCCAGTTTTCATCAACGTTTCCTTCTCTTCCTCTATTTTTTAAATATATTAATCTTAGTTACTTTGAAATCCTTGCAGGGTAATTCCAATATATAGATCATTTCTGGGTCTGTTTAAATTGATTTTCTTTTGCTCTTGTTTATGGGTAGTCTACTTATTTATTTATTTATTTATTTATTTATTTTTGCTGCTTTGTGTTCTTGTCAAGTAATATTTTATTGTATGCCATCTGTTACTTACAAAGCATTATAAAAGCTCTAGTTTATTTTAGCTTCCTCCAAAGAATATTAAAATTTGTTCTGGCAAGCATGTGTGTTACTGGGAAATCAACTTGCTCTTCTGGAGATTGTAAAGCTTTGTTAGGGCAGTTCTAGTTCAGTTTTGTCTTTATTCCTAGGTTATAGGCATGGTCTTCACCAAGGTCTCCTTGTTCTAGCCTACCTCACATCTAATCTTCTAAGTGCAGTGCAGCTTCTGAAATCTCTGCTCATTGCTCCAGCTTCCCAGAAATTATTCTCTGCTAGGCCCCATGGAGTCTACCTGTGCAAGTGCCGATTAGGAATTGGCCACATAAGGGGAATTTTCAGCAGAATTTTAGGACTTCTTTGCACCTCTCCCATCGCAGGGATGTTTTTCGCGCAATCTGAGCCACTTTGTCAACTTTAAATTGTAATCTGTCTTTTATATCCGGAGAGACCATCATTCACTTGGACTCTATTTCTCTTCTTTATAGTTTCGAAATATTCTCTCAACAAGACATCTGAGATGAATGGTCTCTGCTTTCAAGGACTGTAGATATGCATTGGTTACTGTCTTAGATCCGCAAACAACATTTTTACATAGAGTTTACCAGATTTAATGGTTATGTATGGTGAGTAGGTGTTATCAGCTACTCTGTTGTGGCTGAAACAGTACCCTCCGTAAAAATAATAATTCTAACAGCTGTTATTATAGAATATTTGTTAGGTATCTGTGATTTACATGTCTTACCTGGTTTAGTCCCTACAGAAAAATCTGTAAAGTAGATAATATTGTTACCCCAGTTTTAGATGAAAAACGCAGAACTATAAAACTTTGATAATTTGCTCAAAGATATCTGACAGTTGTGAAGGCCAATATTTGAATACCAGCAATCTGACTCTAGAGCCTGATTAAACACATCTTTTCTTGAAAAATAATACACTTTGTGTTTTAGATTCACAGAAGAATTGAGAGGATAGTACAGAGTTCCCTTGTGCCCTTTGTGCAGTTTCCCCTATTATTAACAACTAAGCCATAGTTTATGCAGATTGCCTTGGTTTTACCAAAATTTTTTTTTTATCCCAGGATACCACATTACCTTTAGTTGTCATGTCTCCTTAGGAGACAACTGTCATGTCTCCACAGTTGGCTGTGACAGCTTCTCAGACTAACCTTGTTTTTTAAGAACTTGATAATTTTGAGGAGTGCTGGTCAGATATATTGTAGTATGTCCCTCTATTGGAGTTTGTCTGATGTTTTTTCTCATGATTAGACTGGCGTTATGGGTTTTGAGGAGGGAGACCACAGAGGTAAATACCATTTCATGATAGCATATCAAGAGTGCATACCATCAACATGATTTTTCAGTGTTCATGTTGACCTTGCTCACGTAGTTTTAACACTAAACATTTTTACTATATAATATTTGGAGCACACAAAGGAATATATGCATATACATATGCATAAATATGGATGATTGATAATAAAACAACCACCTGGAATGCCCCTCCACTCCCTATCTCCATCAAGGATTGAAAACACTATTTTGCAAATCCACTTTCAGGAAATGCTTTTTAAAGATTTATTTCCTTGCATTTTTACTTACGTTATCAATACTTTTATAGAGGTATGGAATTTTGAAATGAGTTTGAAATCCATAAATTATTTGTCTATCTAATTTTTGTACATACTAGAATTTTCTTAGTATATGTATGTCTCACCATCTTGTTTAAATCAGCTCTTAAAATTCCGTATTTTTCAAAGATGGAATGATTGAGGTCAGGCAGAGAGGGAAAACAAATATTTAGTGGAATAACATAGGTTCTTCTCACTGAATTTGAGTCTTTCCAAATGATGCCTATAAAAAATTGCCAAAGTAATCTTTAAAAGAACAATCTTACTTAAATTTGTTAGTAGCTAAAGATATGTAAGTTGTGGAGTAATCAAAATGAGCATGGAAGATTTATTCCAAGATAGAGAAAAGTGATTTTTCTAGCCCTAGGATCTTAAACAGGTTTTCCCCCTTCATTTCTTTGTTACCATGCTGCTTTCATTATAAGTGTAAACTGGTTTCAAAGAGGCTATACAGATAGCCTTTTCCTGTTTATTTTTGAATGGGAAACCTTAATTATCATCATCTGTTGTATATCTCATTTTAATGAGACTTGGGAGTAGATGTGTATCATACCCTGCAACATTGTAATTAATTAATTATTGAGTGACAAATACATACCTATAGTTGGTTTGTGTTTTATTCAGTTTTAGAATACTATTTCTGTATTTATAAGTGGTGTGTCATGAATGATATCTGCTCCTATATAAGTGAATCACATTTTAAGCTCAAACATATTTGGCTTTTAAATGATTTGTTAATGTGATTTGATATTCTGGAAACCGGTACAGCATTTGAAATCCATTATTGAAATGTCATTAAAACTCACTCACGAGAGGCAAAGTAGCCACCATACAGCCCCTGTGCATCTTCCCCAGTTCCACCTCTTAGAACACAATCAGGGAAACTGACGGGAAAGAATAGTTTAAGCAGAGGTGATCTCTTACTACCATCGTCATAGATGAGAAACCCAAGCCTGGGCTAGTGGAGGCGTGGTGGTAGTGGGAAAGCTTTGATAAGATAATATTCTTCTTTGTACTGTTGCCAGACTTCTGGCTAAATATGTAAATAGGAGTAAACAAAGTAAGCAAATAGTGGTCATTGTTAACAAATGAGTCAGACTGAAAGGGTGAACATATGTCTATCATTGTCAACCCTCCTTTGCTTTGAATTTGTTATAATGTATGGAGGGCAACCATGTGTTAGGCATTGAACTAAGTTTTTTATATTCAAAGGTAAAATATTGTCTACATCAAGAAACTGATCATCTGGTGGAATAGATGGCCAGCTAAAAAGACTATAAGAATTTGGGCAGTACGGGGGCCTCTCACTGCTGTGGCCTCTCCCGTCGCGGAGCACAGGCTCCGGACGTGCAGGCTCAGCAGCCATGGCTCACGGGCCCAGCCGCTCCACGGCATATGGGATCCTCCCAGACTGGGGCACGAACCCGTGTCCCCTGCATCGGCAGGCGGACTCTCAACCACTGCGCCACCAGGGAAGCCCAGATTGGGCAATCTTAAACAGTTCTACATGGCTTGGAGAACTGAGTGATTTTAAGCGAATGGTAAGAGGCTGGAAGGATAAAAGACCTTCCAGGTAAAGGGTTAATACTTGATCCTGAAGTTTAAAGATAGCCTTCAAAAGATTCTATGCGGGATAATGATGTGATCAGATTTTTATTATTTAAAATCAGTATTTTCATTGCTGTGTGGGAAATAGGATAGAAGAGGACAGACTTCAGAGAGACTATGAGATTGTTTCGGTAATTCAGGGCCAGAGGTATTATGCTGGCAGTGGCAGTTTGAGTGGAGTATATGGATTCAAGAAACGTTAAGGAGGTAGAAACAATGGGTCCCAGTGATGTACTGAATGTTGGGATAAGGCATTACGGACGATGCCAAAGTGTAGAAATTGGTTACCAGATCCCTCTTTTTGAGCCTATCAGAATTCATAACCCAAGGATTTAACATATTAACTCTGTTTCCTATTTCATTTTCCCTTCATATTATCATCCCCTCATACCTTCAAGAAGCCTAAATAATTAGAAAAAACAGAATTTCGTAGGGAAATATGATTTCAAAGGGAAAATCACATTTTAGCAACTTGTGAAATAACTCTTTTCACAAATCTGCCTGATCTTTACTTCAAAAACAAGCAGGTTTTTTGTTTTGTTTTCTTCCTCCACACCAGTACTCACAGTTTATAACAAAGTCTGTTGTTGAAGAACCCTCAGGAAAAAAAAAAAAAAGGTGAAGAGAAGGCTTGTATCATCAAAGAAATATTCACACTTAAGTGAAGAGCCAAAGTTGGTCTTCAATATTGGATTAAGGGAAAATAATCTTTTGTTTCATATTATTAGCTTTTGAAATTGTGTCATTGCTTCTTTTGGTACTTCCAGCAGATATTTTTTCTATACTGAAAGTGCTTATAAAAGCGTTTCTCCTTTATTTGGGACAATGGCTGTGGTCTGAGTTCTATGCAGTGCTGAGCCCAAAGAATAGCAAGCCTTGCAAAGTGTCTCCTTGAACACATAGAAACAGAGTCTGTGATTGTGGTTGCCAGGGGCTAAGGAGTGGAGGAAATGGGGAGATGTTGGTCAAAGGATACAAACTTCCATTTATAAGATGGGTAAGTTCTGAGAATTTAATGTACAGATGGTAACTGTAGTTAACAGTACTGTATTGTATACTTCAAAGTTCCTGAGAGAGTAGATCTTAAATGTTCTCACCCCCCTTCCAAAAAATAGTAACTATATGAGATGATGGGTGTGATAACTAACCCTACTTTAGTAATAATTTTGCTGTATATATGTATATCACATCATCACATTGTACACCTTAAACTTATACAATGTATTTATGTTTATAAAGTTTTTCAAAAATAAATTTTTTTAAAAAAGAAAAGTAGGTCCTTATTAAATTTAATGTGTTGATACCTTTTCTTTCTAAAATAATTATTGTTTTATCTTTTCTTTCAGGATGAACAGAAGCTACAGGAAAGTTTAAGGCAAGGTGCCACCATTATTGCTGCCTTAATCAAGGAAAGAAATCCCGGACTCATTGGTCAACTACTGGTAGCATAAAGAACATGAAGAAAATTACCTACTGTGTTCTTAGAAACATTTACCTAAGTATCTCTTTTGTGCTTCTCTCCGAATTGTATATGGTAGAATGTTTAAGTTGTATTTTATGTCTTTTATAATTTGGAGGATGTGATGCTTAGGTGAACTTGAAAACTTTTTATGCATGTCAAATATAAATTGCTTAAACCGGAAAAGAACAGATAAGTGGAAAATAATAGCCTTCACATAAAGAATGTGTGCCTTTTCACAAAGGCATGAAAGGTAAAATAGAAATAATGATGAGTCAGCTGATTCTCCAAGGAATGAGAATTTAGGAAATGTCAACTATTATCTCTCTGTTAATTAGTAAATCACACTATAATGAAACTAATAAATAAGATTAATGAGTATTGTTAATTCTAACATTATCCTCTCTCCATGGGTTATTTTGAATTGCATTCCAATTTTTCACACCTTAAAAAAAAAAGAAGAGATAGCAGTAAATTCTGGTTTGAGTGTCTGTACCATTAGCCTCACATTACCCTAGATCTCTAAAGGAGATGTAATCTCCTGCTTTTCTAATGTTTTAAAATTGTATGTTTTCCTTGGTTTATGAAATACAGTTTTGACTTACATTATTTTTAAAGGCTTCTGATTTTTCTGAATAACTTTAAAAGAAGACTGGAAAGCTTCATGAAAGTGACGTTATTTTGGTCAATCTTAAGTTAGTCTTCTAAAAGGAAGAGAGTCCATTGCACATAAAATAATTTTCTTTTGATACGGATAACTGCTGCCTTTTAAAATCGAGTTCTTAGTCTTTCAAATTTCCACTGGTATATACATCTTAAATATTGATGATTTTTCCCTTACCTTATATTTTACAGTTTTGTCAATCCAGTCATTAGAGATGCCTTTTATTCTATGTATACACTTCATAAAAACACATAGATCAGATTATGCCAGGGCTTAGGCTGCACGTGGGAACTATAAAAATTGCATGAAATGTTTTCAGTTAAAGATAGACTATGAGGGCTTCCCTGGTGGCGCAGCGGTTGAGAGTCCGCCTGCCGATGCAGGGGACATGGGTTCGTGCCCAGGTCCAGGAAGATCCCACATGCCGCGGAGCGGCTGGGCCCGTCAGCCATAGCTGCTGAGCCTGCGCGTCCGGAGCCTGTGCTCCACAACGGGAGAGGCCACAACGGTGCGAGGCCCGCGTACGGCAAAAAAAAAAAAAAAAGATAGACTACAAAATATCTACCTTGTGCAGTCTCTTCTTAACATGTTGGGTGATTTTGCCTTCATTTCTCAAGTATCCATAATAGTAGGAGTGTTTATATTTTACATTTAAATAATAGTGAGTAGAATATAGAGGAAATGAAGTAATTATTGCAATTCATTCTCCTAAATGAAATGTGTTGTTTGAATGAATGTAGGCTTAGATCTCAATTCCTGGGCTCACCACTTTTTCTCTCTTTCTCTAGGGATGTTAAGAAATATAAAATAAATCATTTAATTAAAATTCTTGAGGGTGGAAATATATGGGCAGTGTGTGGATTTTGGTTAGAATGTCTGTTGTCATTAAGGCAGGTTGGCTACGTTGTAAAAGGTCATAGGTGTGTGTTTTGACATCTTCAGGTGGAAATGTTTTAAGAATTTGAAATGTGCTCATAAAGGCAAAAGGGGAAAAGTTACGAAGATTTTAAGGAGAAAATCAGTGCCTTTAGGTACGTGATGGGAAACTAGGCAGTCTCTGGCACAAGCATCACTGTATCTATTGAGTGCTGACTGAGTTACCTTAGATTTCAACAGAAGGGAATATTATACCAGACAAGAATTTATCTTGGGACAGTTAGTATGCCTTTACCCTAGGCAATTGTAAACATTTAGTGTTATGAGATTTAGTTAATAAAATATTAAGATGATGATGTCTGAAATCATCATCATCATCATCATCATTATGGCATTTAATTTTTTTCTTTATAGTTTACAAAGTGATTCACAGCATTGAAAATAATTTAAAGAAATCTCACATCCTTTACAATTTAGATGGAAATTGAGGCTCAGGGATCCTCACTACCTTCTCCAAAGACGCATGTTAAACTCAGGACCACGGAGAATAAGTTTTAAGCTCATTTCCTCTATAACAATGATTGCAGGCAAAGGATATCCAGCAGAGAGGCCTTCGGAAATGAGCCAGAGGCTCCGAATGAGCGTTGGAGGAATGGACGAGGAGGGACAGATCAGTCCAGTGACCTGAGAAAAGTCCTGAAGCTTTTGGCTTTCCAGCCATCTTTCCAACATACAGAAATTGTAGCTAAGGATAAAGGGAATGAAGAGAATTATTGGCCAGGAAGGAAAGATAAATTAATTGATTTTTTTATTTGTTAAGAGATCCAGAGGCAACTTTACAGTTATATATTCATCTCCACTTTGGGAAACTTAATTTCTTTCATGAAAACTGTCCATTTTCACTTTACTTTTCAAAATCCCTTTAAAAATTATACTAAGTATGCCTGAGGATTGCTGAAATTGCTTTCTACCTGTGCAGATTTTGTGGAAAGGCTGTTTTCTTTTTAAATGTATGCTACTTAATTACATGCAATTTAAAGTTAACCTTTTTAGGAAGTTAACACAGTGCGATCGGTAGTTTGATTAATGACATATTGGTAAGAGGTAGTATTTTTTTTTTCATGAGAGTGCTCAATTTGAGAGATGACTTCTTGCAAATAGACTCATCTACAGATGAAAATCAGACCCCTGTATTCTACCAAGACCTCAGACCCCTATATTCTACCGAGAGCCATTCTTATTGTGGTCACTTTAAGCATTTTGCATTGGTTTACCAGGAAAACGCTCTTTTCCTATGCTAGTTTACTGTACATTTGACCCTTGAACAGCACAGGTTTGAATTGCACTGGTCCAATACGTGTTTTTTTTTCAGCAGTAGCTAGGAAGGAACCATGGATACAGAAGACTTACTATAAATTATGCACAGATTTTTGACTGCTGGGAGGGTCAACGGCTTTAATCCCTGTGTTGTTCGAGGGTCATCTGTAATTATACCTATCAAATTTTATGTTTTATATATATATAAATACAATATTGATTTTATAAAAATCAAGTTTTAGTACTACATTTTCTTATGTTAAATATGTAAATTTTACTTCATTTTAATGTTGAAACTATATCAAGAAAACAAATGATAATAGTTTAATTAAAATGTGAAGAAAGCCATTTGAGATAAGAAAGATTGAAATTGTTTTAAAAGTTTAATTCAAAAATAAACAGAATAAATGAAAAATACATATTGTTTTAGGGTTTATTAATATGGTTTAAAATACGTGGACAAGAAGTGGCTGTGTAGCTGGTGTTTGGCATTGTAACATTAATAGATGTTCTTGTATGGTTTTAGTTTCAAAACTGTGAAAAGGTATGGATCTTTTTCAATGAAAAGTAAGAAACTACCATTAAATATTTTAAATGTTCTCTTTACACAACAAAATGTAGGTAATTGATAACTAACTTATTGATATTTTAAAATCTAATGACAATTTTCATTGATATTTAGTGTATATGTACATATTTTTCAAACTGACTCAGTCTCAACTGAATAACTGAATAGAACATTCTCAAAATATAAGTGTCATCTTTTACATTAGAGGAAAATAGAATTTGAGATTCAGATATATTATTCTGTAAAATATATTAAAAATTTGCAAAACCAGAAGTCTCAGCCAGATTTTTTCTCTTTCCCTCATATTTAGCAGGTTTACCAGCAATTACTGTGGCAGCTAAGGATATAAAAGCTATACTTAGGCACAGTGGAAAAGAATATTGTGACCGCTTAATAATGTCTGCATGGGTGTGGTGGGTTGAATGACTGTTTAGCAATATTCTTTCCCTCCATTTAGTTTCCATATGAGGAATATATGTCCACTTCATGACTTTGGGATTCATCCTGTGACCTGCTTTGACCAACAGAGTGAGTCACAAGTGGCAGTGCACCGCTGAGACTAGGCTTAAGAGACCCTGCATGTTGCTGCTTGCTCTCTCCCACTTCTGCCACCACCATGATGTACACACTCCGCCTGGCCTGCTGCCTCCCAAAGGAAAACGAGAGCCGGGATCACCTGACCTCCAGCTAATTAACAAATGGATGCAGAAGCCCAGCTGAGATCAACAGGGTCTCCAGCAGACAGGTGAGCTCAATAAATGCTCATTGGCTTTTTTTTTTTTTTTTTTTGCTAGTACTGAATTTTGAATCATTTTATCGAACACCAGTTGGTAAGCAAGGAAAGAAGATCTGTGGCAGTGTGTGGTACATTTGCTCTCACAAGTCTAGGATATATCTGGAGACACACATTTTGCTAAAGCAGAACATTTACCAGGAGAACTGTTGGTTAGGGCAATGATCCCAAAGTATTAGAAGGTTCTCTGGATGCCTCCTTCCCTAGTTAGTAGTTACTGAAGGAGGAAAATAGACCTGAATGTTATAGAAAAGTTTTCAAAAGAAGTTAAACTTTTTTGGGCCTGAAATGACATTGAGTTAAAATACGGGCTACTAAAATAATAGATAGTAGAAATAGCTAACATTTGTTGAATGATTACTGTGTTCCAGAAACTGTTCTTAGTACTTTTGCATGTACATAACTTTTTTTTCCATAATAACTTCATGTACTAGGTAGTATACCAGTCTCCATTTAAAAGATGAAGAAACTAAGGCACATACCTTTTGAATAACTTTGAGTAACAGAGTCATTCGAGCACCAAGTGGGCAAAATGTGATTCAAATTTGGTTATCTAACTTTGGAGCTTATATTCCTAAGCATGATTCTTTATAATATTATAAAACATACTATTTTTTTCCCCATGGAACAGCATTTTATTTTAAATATAGTAGTGTGTACACATCAATTCCGAACTCCCAATATGTCCCTCCCCCATCCTTCCTCCCTGGTAACCATAAGTTCGTTCTCTAAGTCTGTAAAACATACTATTTTAAGATCCCTTAAAGAATGACTCTCAAAGATGGGAATCTCAATTTTATTTTCGTTAATAGCAAGAGAAAGAAAATGGGTAAAGCCCATTACCTTTTAGTGTTGCTATACTCTTCCTTTCCTTTGTGCATTGCTACCCCCAACACACAAACATATTTTAGAACATCCTTGGATCTGCATGTGCCAGTAAAACATACAAAGACTGATACTCACATACAGTTATTATCACTCACAGAGATAGTGATCTCTGTGAGCTCTAAAGTTGTTGGGATTTCCTCAGGCAATGAATGATCGGCATATTTGGATAACAAAAGTGGAAGATGAAAAAGTAGAAGGAAATACTTCCTTGATGAACCAGAGTTGCATACAGACATTTGCACCTCAGCAACACAAGACCTGAAAAGAGAAGTTGAAATCCATTCACTGTCTTTACAAGAGAAAGGAAGGTCTAGAGAAATGCCCAGGCAGGAGGAAGTATGAAGTCTTCCCTTGTCATGAGACTTCCCTAAGCATGAATGTTCACAGTGTTTGCTCAGTGGGAAAATTTGGGGTGAACGGTGTCAGTGTGATGAGCTTGACCTGAGCAGAGCCAGGAATTTTTTCTCTTCGTATCTGAAATATTAGAACCTGCGATTTTTAAAAATGTCTTCATATTTGAAAGTTGCTAAGAGAGTAAATCTTGAAAGTAATTACGACAAGAAAAAGAATTTGTAATATTGTATATTTACAGATGGTACCTAGACATAGGGTGGCATCATTTTGCAGTGTCTACAAATATTGAATCATTATGTTGTACACCTGAAACTAATATAATGTTGTATGTCAATAATACTTCAATCAAAAAAGATAAATTTTTTAAAACTTCAAATAATATTATTCAAAGGAGAAGTCCCACTTTGAGTCACCAGCAAAGAGTGGGCTGAACCCTGTGTTGGAAATTATAGCCTTTACAAACACTTTCCACATTTCTTTGCTGTGATTTACTCTTTCCTGGTGTTATTGTAAATTGAAAACCTCATTATGCAATTTTGATTTTTCCTATTCTGTCATTGGTGTCCAAAAACAAATATAGTGTCTCCTCAGTCAGAAGTTTTGTCCTCTTAAATATTCGAATAACCAGCTCTTTTTTTTTCAATTTGCTCATCAGTCTAATAATTAGTTCCTTAAAAAGAATTTCCTTTACTACTCACATCTCTAAGTTTTGCCTCTTCATTAGAATTTAAGTTATATAAAAGCAAGAACTTTGAATCTTCATATGATACCTTCTAGTGACTGTCTAGAATAATATCTGGCACAAAACATGTGCCCGACATTGAGTCGGTGAATGGATAAATAATCTGAACTCTTTTTTAACACACGGAGCTGAAACCTGAATTTTGCAGTTGGTGAAATAACATTGATCAGTTTGGCTTTCTCAATAAATATTGATTAGGTAAATGAAATATTACAAATGGTATTTTCTGTGAAGATTGAAAAAGGACTCTGATGACTACATGTGATGATGTTGGATTGCCAGGACTTAAAAAGTAACCTAAGGGCTTCCCTGGTGGCACACTGGTTGAGAATCTGCCTGCTAATGCAGGGGACATGGGTTCGAGCCCTGGTCTGGGAAGATCCTACATGCCACGGAGCAACTAGGCCCGTGAGCCACAACTACTGAGCCTGCGCGTCTGGAGCCTGTGCTCCGCAACAAGAGAGGCCGCGATAGTGAGAGGCCCGCGCACCACGATGAAGAGTGGCCCCCGCTTGCCACAACTAGAGAAAGCCCTCGCACAGAAACCAAGACCCAACACAGCGCCTCCCTCCAAAAAAAAAGTAACCTAAAAAAAATCGTGCAGGGTTTTATCATGAGTCCTTAAATAACTTTTATATAAGGTTTTTTTTTTTTAATTTTAAGGCTTTATTAAAATATACATTAACACCACCAGATAAAAGATTCACGTCTGGGCTTACCTGGTGGCGCAGTGGTTGAGAGTCCGCCCGCCGATGCAGGGGACACGGGTTCGTGCCCCGGTCCGGGAAGATCCCACATGCCGCGGAGTGGCTGGGCCCGTGAGCCATGGCCGCTGAGCCTGCGCGTCCAGAGCCTGTGCTCCGCAACAGAAGAGGCCACAACAGTGAGAGGCCCGCATACTGCAAAAAAAAAAAAGATTCACGTCTAAATTTGTGCAACACAAAACACAAAATCTGACTTTAACAGGTTAGTGTGTATTGAGGAAAAAAATCAGGTTTTCTGTTGCTAATGAAAGTACTATAGAATAAAAATAAAAGTAATTGGATATTTTTTAGAAGTCTTTACAGCTGAAATGCATTATGCAAATTACTCTACTTTGTGACGATGCTACCAAATAATCTGAACAGGTGTTAAAACATCTGGGTCTATTTAGCAGCATAGACGAAGCCTGGATTGTCTAATGCACTTTTCTCTTCTTGTTTAACCTTAATTAATCCTTGCAGGGTCTCTGTGAGGTAGGTCTGTATCAACCTTGTGGTATGACAATTACAAAAAGGCAGATGCAGAGATTAAGGGCTCATGATCACCCAGCACACTGGAAGCCAAACTGAGTCTAGAAATCCAGAATTTCTGATTTTACCTTGGATACTGTTTCAGGGAATTGGATTACAACTAGGAGGGACTGTTCTTTACTTGAGGTTTTAAAAAATCTGATTAAAATCTGCATACAGAATTTTACCTGGATGCATTCCCTCATTTTCCATTTTACAAAGTTGCAGTTAAGCCAGAGGCAAAAGCTTCCACAAGGCAATCCTAGTGATCTTTTTGACCTGAGTGGAAACATGATTTGAGATTTCACATGGAGGCCAATTTTGTAAGAATTTCCACTAGTATGTGGACTGTAATAATTGGGTTATTTGGATGAGGTTTGGGAAAGCATCTAGTAGATTAACTAAATGAGGTTCCTGGAGCTTTCCCATTTTGGAGCTATCCATTTTGTTCTTTGTTCTACCTCATTATAAAATGGGCTATTGAAATTGGTTGGTTGGTATGTCAGCTTTTTCTTTTTATTTTTTTTAACATCTTTATTGGAGTATAACTGCGTTACAAGGGTGTGTTAGTTTCTGCTTTATAACAAAGGGAATCAGTTGTACATAAACATATGTTCCCATATCACTTCCCTCCCGCCCACCCTCCCTATCCCACCCCTCTAGGTGGTCACAAAGCACCAAGCTGACCTCCCTGTGCTATGCGGCTACTTCCCACTAGCTATCTGTTTTACGTTTGGTAGTGTATATATGTCCATGCCACTCTCTCACTTTGTCACAGCTTACCCTTCCCCCTCCCCATATCCACAAGTCCATGCTCAAGTAGGTCTGTGTCTTTATTCCTGTCTTACCCCTAGGTTCTTCATGACATTTTTTTCCCCTTAGATTCCATATATATGTGTTAGCATATGGTATTTGTCTTTCTCTTTCTGACTTACATCACTCTGTTTGACAGACTCTAGGTCCATCCACCTCACTACAAATAACTCAATTTCATTTCTTTTTATGGCTGAGTAATATTCCATTGTATATATGTGCCACAACTTCTTATTTTAATTTTTAAATTGGGCTTATTTATTTGTTAGTGAAGTTTTTACATTTTCAGTGGTTAAAAAAGAAGATTTTGTGACTTGTGAAAATTATGTGCAATTCCAATTTTTTTTAAAATTCTTTATTGGAGTATAATTGCTTTACAATGGTGTGTTAGTTTCTGCTTTATAACAAAGTGAATCAGCTATACATATACATATGTTCCCATATCTCTTCCCTCTTGCATCTCCCTCCCACCCACCCTCCCTATCCCACCCCTCTAGGTGGTCACAAAGCACCGAGCTGACCTCCCTGTGCTATGCGGCTGCTTCCCACTAGCTATCTATTTTACGTTTGGTAGTGTATATATGTCCATGCCACTCTCTCACTTTGTCACAGCTTACCCTTCCCCCTCCCCACATCCTCAAGTCCATTCTCTAGTAGGTCTGTGTCTTTATTCCTGTCTTACCCCTAGGTTCTTCATGACATTTTTTTTTTCTTAAATTCCATATATATGTGTTAGCATACGGTATTTGTCTTTCTCTTTCTGACTTACTTCACTCTGTATGACAGACTCTAGGTCTATCCACCTCATTACAAATAGCTCAATTTCGTTTCTTTTTATGGCTGAGTAATATTCCATTCCATACATGTGCCACATCTTCTTTATCCATTCATCCAATGATGGATACTTAGGTTGTTTCCATCTCCGGGCTATTGTAAATGGAGCTGCAATGAATATTTTGGTACATGACTCCTTTTGAATTATGGTTTTCTCAGGGTATATGCCCAGTAGTGGGATTGGTGGGTCATATGGTAGTTCTATTTGTAGTTTTTTAAGGAACCTCCATACTGTTCTCCATAGTGGCTGTACCAATTCACATTGCCACCAGCAGTGCAAGAGTGTTCCCTTTTCTCCACACCCTCTCCAGCATTTATTGTTTCTAGATGTTTTTTTGATGATGGCCATTCTGACTGGTGTGAGATGATATCTCATTGTAGTTTTGATTTTCATTTCTCTAATGATTAATGATGCTGAGCATTCTTTCATGTGTTTGTTGGCAGTCTGTATATCTTCTTTGGAGAAATGTCTATTTAGGTCTTCTCCCCATTTTTGGATTGGGTTGTTTGTTTTTTTTGTTATTGAGCTGCATGAGCTGCTTATAAATTTTGGAGATTAATCCTTTGTCAGTTGCTTCATTTGCAAATATTTTCTCCCATTCTGAGGGTTGTGTTTTGGTCTTGTTTATGGTTTCCTTTGCTGTGCAAAAACTGTGATTAAAAATCTTCCAACAAACAAAAGCCCAGGGCCAGATGGCTTCACAGGCGAATTCTATCAAACGTTTAGAGAAGAGCTAACACCTACCCTTCTCAAACTCTTCCAAAATATAGCAGAGGGAGGAACACTCCCAAACTCATTCTACGAGGCCACCATCACCCTGATACTAAAACCAGACAAAGATGTCACTAAGAAAGAAAACTACAGGCCAATATCACTGATGAACATAGATGTAAAAATCCTCAACAAAATACTAGCAAACAGAGTCCAACAGCACAGTAAAATGATCATACACCCTGATCAAGTGGGGTTTATTCCAGGAATGCAAGGGTTCTTCAGTATATGCAAATCAATCAACGTGATACACCGTATTAACAAATTGAAGGAGAAAAACCATATGATCATCTCAATAGATGCAGAGAAAGCTTTCAACAAAATTCAACACCCATTTGTGATAAAAACCCTGCAGAAAGTAGGCATAGAGGGAACTTTTCTCAACATAATAAAGGCCAAATATGACAAACCCACAGCCAACATCCTCCTCAATGGTGAAAAACTGAAACCATTTCCACTAAGATCAGGAACAAGACAAGGTTGCCCACTCTCACCACTCTTATTCAATATAGTTTTGGAAGTTTTAGCCACCGCAATCAGAGAAGAAAAGGAAATAAAAGGAATCCAAATTGGAAAAGAAGAAGTAAAGCTGTCACTGTTTGCAGATGACATGATACTATACATAGAGAATCCTAAAGATGCTACCAGAAAACTACTGGAGCTAATCAATGAATTTGGTAAAATTTTGGTAAAAAAATTTGGTAATACAAAATTAATGCACAGAAATCTCTGGCATTCTTATACACTAATGATGAAAAATCTGAAAGTGAAATTAAGAAAACACTCCCATTTACCACTGCAACAAAAAGAATAAAATATCTAGGAATAAACCTACCTAAGGAGACAAAAGACCTGTATGCAGAAAATTATAAGACACTGATGAAAGAAATTAAAGATGATAGAAATAGATGGAGAGATATACCATGTTCTTGGATTGGAAGAATTAACATTGTGAAAATGACTCTACTACCCAAAGCAATCTACAGATTCAATGCAATCCCTGTCAAACTACCACTGGCATTTTTCACGGAACTAGAATAAAAAATTTCACAATTTGTATGGAAACACAAAAGACCCTGAATAGCCAAAGCAATCTTGAGAACGAAAAACGGAGCTGGAGGAATCAGGCTTCTTGACTTCAGACTATACTACGAAGCTACAGTAATCAAGACAGTCTGGTACTGGCACAAAAACAGAAATATAGATCAGTGGAACAGGATAGAAAGCTCAGAGATAAACCCATGCACATATGGTCACCTTATCTTTGATAAAGGAGGCAAGAATATACAGTGGAGAAAAGACAGCCTCTTCAATAAGTGGTGCTGGGCAAACTGGACAGGTACATGTAAAAGTATGAAATTAGAACACTCCCTAACACAATACACAAAAATAAGCTCAAAATGGGGCTTCCCTGGTGGCGCAGTGGTTGAGAGTCCGCCTGCCGATGCAGGGGACAAGGGTTCATGCCCCGGTCCGGGAAGATCCCACATGCCGCGGAGCGGCTGGGCCCGTGAGCCATGGCCGCTGAGCCTGCGCGTCCGGAGCCTGTGCTTCGCAACAGGAAAGGCCACAACAGTGAGAGGCCCGCATATCACAAAAAAAAACAAAACAAAACAACAACAACAAAAAAAAAAAAAAAAAAAAAAGCTCAAAATGGATTAAATACGTAAATATAAGGAGAGACACTCTAAAACTCTTAGAGGAAAACATAGGCAGAACACTCTATGGTGTCAATCACAGCAAGATCCTTTTTGACTCACCTCCTAGAGAAATGGAAATAAAAACAAAAATAAACAAATGGGACCTAATGAAACTGGAAAGCTTTTTCTTTTCTTTTTTTTTTTCCTTTTCTATTCTTTACATCTGAGCACTTAATTTAATTGAAAGCAAGCTCTTCAGTCTAAGTGGATAACAAAACATCCCTTTGAGGAGGAGGAAATAGATGATAAAATCTGTGTTACTAATTTTTTTCAGTAGTTTGGAGGAATTCCTTTTCCATCCTGTGTATGTGTTTTTAAGACCCTGTTAAGTTCATAGTTCCTTTTTCTTTTCTTGTCTGAATAGAAAATCATTCTCTTTCATCCCACCTGAGTTTTAAA